GCCCAACCCCTTTCCCTTTGGTAACTGCTAGTCCCTTCTTGGAGTCTGTGAGTCTGCTGCTGTTTTGAGTAACATCAATTTTTACGACAGTCTTATATCTCATTTGTAATTCTTCCTCCTTCCCCCAGCCCATATCTCTCTTGTGGCTTCTTTATCCTAGGCTGAGTGGAATCACAACCTTAGCTAATTAAGGCACTAGTAACTAGACTATATAAAAGAAGTGGCATTGAGTTAAACTTTGAGTATTTCAGCTGGTAAAGATAGGTGGGCAGGGAGCATTCCAGGGGGAGAGAGAGAGTGAGAAAAGCCCAAGAGGTGGAAAAACCAGGAGTACTGCAAATCTCCTTTCTGAGCATTTGCTTCAAGCCAGAGATCAGTAAGTGGGATAGGATGGGACCAGAGCCTGGGAGACCTTGACTCCATGCTCCATCGTGGGAAATATGGATAGGAAGAGGGGGACCATTGCAGGTTTTCCCAGGAGGTATGAAAGGTTCCCTCCACCGGACCCGTTTCCGTGGGAGCAGTGTGCAGGGCAGCAGGAAATGGGGAGGGCCTGCCAGAGGGAGTTGGCTTAGGAAGGTGATGAAACGCTGACTGAGGGTTGTTGTAGCTGGACGGTAAAGTAGACACTGCCAGGTAAGGAGGCAGCTCAGCTAAGAACTGGACGCAAGAGGCAAGCGAGAGTCAAAACAGGCTCAGTGTTGGGTGACACACAGAATGGATGGTCTTAAATATTTTTCTGGGAAACAGTTGCAAAGTAAGATTCAGTTTAGCTTGAATATGGCAGATAACGTTTACCTGGTTATTAAGTTTGAGTAAGTTATGTATTTTATAAAAATACCAGATAGTGGTTAATGATAGTCATCATTACCTGGCAAACACCTATGATGTGCCAGGTATATTATGCATGTTATTTTAGCCTCCTGATAAACTTCCCATTTTTCAGATGGCAAACTGAGGTTAAAGTAGTTACATGACATGGCCGAGGTCACACAGCTGGTTAGTGTTTGAACTACCTTTAAATCCAGTACACCACAATGGCCAAGAAAAGGTCAAACTTTAATTAACAAAAACGGCCCTTTTCTACTTGTAAACTCTTCTATCTAATGTGAGTTTTATTTCTTTTTAATCTGTTGCATTCCTGTGAAATACTTATTTCATAACCATTGTATACTTTCCTGTAGTTTCCATCTGCTTGGGGTAAAAATCAGTATGATGCAGCAATAAGCCAACTAATTATTGGTCAGATCTACAAGACAGCTGTCAAAGTAGTTAATTTTTCCTCTAAATATGGGCATAATTTCATTGTCTTTCAGGTGATTGAAATGTCTTGGGAAAGAATAAAACTGCTGACGCTCCTGATGCCTGGGCGCTGACCGCTTAGGGTGGAGTAAAGAAGGGCTGGGTTGTGGTTTAGGGAGTCTCCTCAACTCTCAGCTAACCAGTTTTTCCAGAAAAGGAGGTTCCAGAAAGAGGCTTCAGTTTGGAGGCCTTGGTGCTTGAGCACTGCCCCACCCTTTGCTTTGCTCTTCATCCCTCTTGCACGCCTGGGAAATTGGTCAGGTGCGGTTCTCAGGTTGAAGCCACCGCCCCACAGACCCTAAGCCTCAATGAGCCTCTGGTTTGAGGCAACATTCTGTAAAATGGTAGTGCAGTCCAATAATGTACATTTTTTATCACCAACACTTTGGTCTGGAAGGGTCCAGGACCTTCTAAGACCTCATGAATGTGAAATCTACAGTTCATGAAAAAAATGATGGCATGTTAGAAAAAGACTACAGCGAATAGATCTAAGTTTTTGCTTGGATTACATCCCTTTCTTCATCTAGCACCTGAAAAAAATTAAAAAGGAGTAAGCCTCTTGATGGATGACCAGATTTCTTGAGGCTTCAGAACAATTGTAAGTTTTCTAGTAGGGAAGACCTTCAAAATAGAAATGCGGACTTTTGGCATTAAATTTATAAGGACCAAATGTTCCTGTATCTTCCCTGCTTAATGAAGGAAGGGAAGACATGCTTTTTCTTCATTTCCTTATCCCTTCAGTAAGCTTCTTTCATGCTGTTACAATGTGTCATTCCCTTTGAATTGTCCCAAACCGTTATTTTCAGGTCTGGTAGTAATTTCAGGAAGCTTTGAAATGCCTTACACTTAATTAATCCATTTCTTCTCCCCCCCCCCACCGACCTCATTTCTTTTTTTTTTTTAATTTTCACTCCACCCTCAATTTGCTGCCGGATATCCTTAATATTATAAGCTGGGCAAAGTTCAAAATTATGAATTGGTGTAAAAAACACAAATGAAAAATAAAAATGAAATCCGAGAATCATGTCATACATAGCGGCGGTCGCCGCCTTCCCGGTTAAGAGCGATCTTGCAGGGAGATTGAGTTTCTGCGGGGCTTCGCCGGCGGTACTGGCTCCTCGAAGCCCTGCCAGCCGCAGGGGTGTGGGCGCGTCTCCTACAGGTTGCAGATGGAGAAACTCCAGGGAGCGTAAGTTTAGTTGTTCTAAGTCGCAGGCGGTGCAACCGGAAGTGGCTGAGTAAGGCGTGGCCTCTGAGTCGGCCCGACTTAAAAGTCTTCGTGAAGTTAATGTTCTATGATCACCCCCACTGAGCCAGTGTGAAAATAATAAACATGGAAAAGGGAGCAGAACTTTTTTTTAGAGAGAGAAGGCTTCCAAAACTGGGTGAGGATAAAATGAAGGATCAGAGGAGGTCCCCTTTCTAAGATTTACAGAAAGAAAACCCATTTTTGCATACTGTTGGGATGGGATTCGTGGATGGGAGCTAAATGTGCTACTTGGTAGAGCTTGGAAATCAGGCTGAGATGGTGGTAAGATCCTCAGATCAGTCTTTTCATTTGCCTTTGCTTTTCTTCTACTTTGCTAAATCAAACAGGTATCTTCTGTATGCAAAACTCTGTGTTAGGTAGAAG